AGAAGAGGGGAGACATTTCCTCTGGACCCAGACACAGGTTCTCCACCAGGAGGACATCTGCCCCGCTCCTGGGTGGGGAGTGTGCGAGGTCCGACTGTTTCCCCCATTCTTGTTGGAAGCTCTAACTGTCTTGGGTGGGGATGGAAAATAGAGGCGAGGGTTTCTGTCATCACAGGGTTGGCCAGTGCAGTAGAGACATGTCCCAACTGAGATATCTTGGTGCCCCAGATGAGAGCCCCTGGAAGCCTCCTATGTAGAGTTTGGTGCTTAAAGAGGCCTGCATCACTGCACAAGCCCATTCTAAAAAAGAGGTGTGCTCAGGTGCTTTACCTGGATCCAAGCGGTGACTTCTGGCCGTACCAGGCTTCCACTAGGAAAACCCCTAGAATGACCACAGTTAGGGCAGCCAGACACAGACGAATGAGGTTCACCTTGCTGTAGTCCTCTGATGTGGCTCCTTGGGTATCTGAGAGAGAGAATGAGATGACCACTGGCCACGAAGAATTATCCCTCTTCTCCAGTGGATCCACCGAATGCCACGCCCGCATGCCCACCCATGTCCCCTGGGCAGTGCTCAGCGCTGCCTTCATGCAGCTTTTATTTTTTTTTACAGATTATTTATGCATACAAGAGCTGGGGTACATGCCAAAGATGCGGGTGGTGAGAGGATCCACCAGAGACAGAGCGGGGAGCAGAACAGGCAGACTGACTGAAATACACTGCTGAGGGGAAGAGTGGGTGAGGCAGGAGAGGTCTGCTGCGCCATGTGGGTTGCTCCCTGACCGGGGATCGAACTCGTGTTGCAGAGGCTGCGGATTGCTTCATAGTGCGGTGCTTAACCCCTTGCGCCACCAGGGAGGACCCGTGCAGGTTTTAATCACTGAAAACAGCCATGGGATTTGGAGAGAACTGTGGTGGTCGTTACTTCTTTCCTTTATCCTGTCTTCATTTACCTCTCCTCTCTCACTTATTTGCCCTTGCTCTAATTCCATCTTCCCTCATTTTGTTGCTGAGAGGCTGTTTGCATGGAGTTTTTAAGAGGGAGGTTTAAGAGAACCAAGGACTTGGTTCTCAGCCAAAGGAGGGTGTTCCAGTTAGGGAACTTTCAGGAAGTGGAACTTTGGAAAGTCTTGATCTTCTTCGAAAAGGGTTTTCTGGTGTGAAAAATGAACTTTTGCCCAGTCATCCTTTTGAAAGATTGGGAAAAAACTTTCAGCTCAACCTAGATAAAATGTTATTTTTCCACCCCAAGAAACATCCAGGGTCTGTTTGCTCCAGGTTTGTAAAATTATAAGTGGAATTCAAGGCAGTACCGCTGGTTCAGCATCTCCCATTTTCTTCAAGCTCAATCCTTTCACTGGACATTTTTAAAAAATATTTATTCATGCATATAAGAACTGGGGTACAGGCCAGTTGCGCGAGAGGGTGAGAGGATTCACCAGAGACAGAACAGGGAACAGACCTGGCGGATCCACTGAAATACACTGCTGAGGGGAGCAGCGGGCAAGACAGGAGAGGTCTGCCGTGCCACTTGGGATTCTCGCTGGCTGGCCGGGATCGAACCAGTGCTGCAGAGGCTGCGGACAGCTTGACAGCGCTGCGCTCAACCGCCTGCACCACCAAAGGATGCCCTCACTGGACATTTTGAGGGGTAATGATGAGGTTACTCGGCCTGAAGTTATTCCTAATGACCTGTGGCAGAGTGAACTACTGGGCAGGCAGCCCTGGCTGGTGGAGGATAAACTCACGTCCCTGCAGTGCAGGGTGTGAAAACAGGGGCTGTTAGTCTTCTGGATGGTGGTCTTCTTACCATCATTTGATGGCCACAATATTAAAAGTGTTGACACATGAGAATTTTGGCCTAAATAGCATCTCTGATCATTTGAAATTATTTGGGTTGTCAGTTTAAGGTCGTGTGACCATGGAAAGCACAAAAGGGAGAAGATTTTATCTTTTTTTTTTTTTTTTAACATTCAGCATTACTGCTTTTTTTTTTTTTTTTAAAGATTTAATTTATGCATCCAACAACTGGGGTATAGGCCAGAGGTGTGGATGGTGAGAGGATTCACCAGAGATAGAGCGGGGAACAGAACAGGCAGACTGACTGAAGTACACTGCTGAGGGGAGCAGCGGGCGGGCCAGGAGAGGTCTGCTGCGCCATGTGGGTTGCTGCCTGGCGGGCTGGTGGATCAACCTCTTGCTGCAGTGGCTGTAGATATCTGCATAGGCTGCGTCTTAACCCCTTGCGCCACCAGGGAGGCCCCAAAAGGGAGATGATTTTAAAATTCTCAATTTATATTAAAACATTAACTCCATGTCTTAAAAACTTGCTGCTAATGAAAGTTGTGAAAATGTACATAGGTTCCAATTTGACTTATTTTCCATACATTTGCTTGTGAATAAACATTTAAGTGTGAAAACAAAAATCATTCACTCGATGGGAAGCATCAGAAAGACATAAAGAAAGTTCCTGGCAGGAGATACCCTGGCAGCACTGCGAGGTGCTCTTCTCACATCCCAACACCTCACAGGGCAAGGCCAAGATGCCCACCGTCCAGCTGAGGAGACACCCCAGGTGGCACCACTGAGAGGTTGCAGTAGGGTGTGAAAGGGTGTAAGCTCCCACCTCCTCCTCCCTCCGCACACCAGGCTGACCCCGTCCTGCCTCTACCACCGTGACCCACTTCCAGTGGGTGGGTCAGGGCTGGCTAGTGGCTGGGGAAGCCCCATCTCGGGAAGAGGCTGATTATGACCCTCCTTCGCTTTGGTGTTTAAAGGCTTCTCATCACCTCTTGCCATGATGTATTTCCCTAACACAGCGAGGTAATCCGAAAGGACTTGCAAACTGAGTTCCCTTAATTTGAGAACATATCCCAGCCACCAGCGCGGAGCAGGAGGCTCTGGGAATGTCACATGCTGAGAGCAAAAATGAATCACCGGGGAAGATAAAGCAACGCTTTCAGAGGTGCAGGCAGCAGAGGAAGGATGCTGGCGATGGCCGGTTGTTTCAAACAGCATGAGAAATGCAGCGGGAATGCAGGACCAAAAGGACAAGGGGGGCCGCCCTGGTGGCGCAGGAGTTAAGCACCCCACTATGAAGTTATCCGCAGCCTCTGCAGCACGAGTTCGATCCCTGGCCAGGGAGCTGCCCTCATGGCATAGCAGACCTCTCCTGTCTCCCTGCTGCTCCCCTCAGGAGTGCATTTCAGTTGATCTGCCTGTTTTGCACCCCACTGTCTCTGGGGGATCCTCGCATCCCCACGCCTCTCGCCTGTAGCCCAGTTCTTGTAGACATAAATAAATGAATCTTTAAAAAAAAAAAAAACCAAAAGGACAAGGGAGTGGAAATGAAGCAAGATGTTGAAAAGAGAGGACAGCGCAAGTGACGGGGAAAGGAGAATCAGGGTGGCAGAGCAGACACGCTCCTGTCACATCAAAGAAACATCCCCCAAGTGATGCAGAGCCTTACCTGTCACCTGGATGGAGACAGACTCACTGGGGCGCGAGGCCCAGAATGGAGCCCTGGTCATGTGGCTCACACAGCTGTAGTTCCCGCTGTCACCGGCTGTCACCTTCGGAAGGGAGAAGTGGGTTCCCCTCTCGTGTGAAGTGGAGACCTGGGTGGGTGGTGCTGACTCTCCTGCCTTCAGTATAACAAAATGTGTCAGCTCAGTCATGTTGCGTGGCCACTGGCACTGCAGGGTCACGTTCTCTCCTGCGGTCACCTCTCCGCTTGGGTGGGCTTGGAGGGAAGGTTTGGGGTAAGAACCTGAAAGACAAGAAGGCTCCAGGGTTACCCCGTGCTCCAGGCGGGGTCTCAGAGAGGAGGAGGTGCAGACGCCTGGCCCCGGGCTTGTCCACTCCAGCTCCAGGAAGCACTTCTGCCCCATGCAGGCCCTGGGTACACGCCAGCAGCTGGCCCCTGTCTCTCCCCAGCCCCCCAACTGCGCTGCAGGGGCGCCCTTGCCTCCCTCTCTGTCTCTGGTTCCTCCCTCACCCCCACCCCTGAGAAGACCCGGTGTCCTCACCTGTCACCAGGAGTAGAAGGGCCTCACTGGGCGGTGATGTTTCTCGGGGCCTCTCTCTTCTCTGGTAGTGACAGGTGTACTCTCCAGCTCGACTGGCTTGCAGACCAGCGAGGTGAAACTTGGCCAGGCCCTCTGTCCAGTCAGTTGGGGGCACTTCCACCACGCTGTGTCCTCCCCTTCTGAGATGAAACTTTCCCAGGCCCCCGATGGGCGCGCGGCATGTCAGCGTCACATCACCACCCTCAGGCACCACCGCGCTGGGCCAGGCCGTGAGGGAGGGCCTGGGAAGGGGCCCTGGAGGAAGCAGAGTTCAGGGCTGGCTTCCAGGCCTCACCTGCTCCCTGGAGGCCCAGTGGAGGGAGGGAGGGAAGGGCTGGAGCAGGGTCTGGTAGAGGAAACACTCACCGTGGCCTCCTGTGTCTCCTTGGCCCACGCGCAGCCCTGCAGAGGAATTATAGTCCATGAGTCGCGGCCAGCTGGATCCGCCCAGCTCCGCCCTGATGTCAAGTGACTGGGCCAGGGCCTCCCTGAGCTCATGCCCATCCCCTGGGGTCCTCCTGTCCCCACACTGGAGTCTCCCCGCTCAGCGCCTCCCTCCTGGCTCACAGAAAGGCGGCCGCTCCCACTCCCGAGGCCCCAGTGCCTTTCTGGGTTCCACGAAATCCCACAAACTCTCCTTTTCTCATCTTCTGTCCTGAGCCACCTCAGCCTCACATTCCTAGTAGGTCTGTGTCGGATTGTCTGGATTCCCACAGCCCCGCCTGGGGAGGAGGCAAGAACCGTGAGAGAGATTGGGGCGGCGTTGGACACGAGGGTCCCTGGCTCCAAACAGACCTGAGTGTTTCCTCACAGTCTCCGTGATAGACGAGGCCCCACAGGGAAGGTCTCCTGTGTCTGGGTGACAGTGTGGAGATAGAGCCGCCAGGGCGTGGAGCCCGCAGCGCGCTTGCCGTTGCTCACACCCTCCTGCCACGGCGGACACGGGCCACCACTGGAGCGCCCGGAGGCAGGGGTCTCGGTGCTGCTGGCCTCAGCACCCCAGTACCCCACAGTTGCGGCACAGTGTAGGACCTCAGCAAGCCACGCTGCTGAGGGCCAAGGTGCCCCACTGGAACATGGTGGAGGATTCGGGGGCACTGGTGATGGGCAGGGGGTGAAAACATGCATTTGCAGAGGTTTGATCCTGTAACCCCCAGAGATACAACCATGGAAACCATGTTTCCTCCGTAAGCATAATTGGAAAAGATGATTACAAGATGCCCCAGCACCAGCCGGGCTGAGGAGCGGCAGCCTCCTCTCCCCCATCTTCTCTCATGTCCCCTCACGTCCAGACCTCTCCATCGCCACCACCAATACTGGGTGAGGAAGGCTGACTCCTGGATGGGTGAGCCCGGTCCCTGGGAAGCACTGGTTGAGGCCACCTTACATTTTAGTTTGAAGGTTCTGCTCCAGCATTTGCAGTTGTCTCTTGTCAGCCTTTCATACTCCAGACAGAACAGAGTCCCTGCGTGTCCTGACACAAGCCTCAGAAAATCCAAATGGCGATTCCAGGAAAGGGAGCACCTAGAGCCGTCCCCTCTCCACATGCAGCTGCCTTTAGCATTCTCTGACTCCGTTGTTCTTTTTTCTTTTTAATATTTATTCATTTATGCACACAAGAGCTGGGGTACAGGCCAGAGGTGCGGGGGGTGAGAGATTCACCAGACACAGAGTGGGGAACACAACAGGGAGATCGACTGAAATCCACTGCTGAGGGGAGCAGGGGTGAGTCAGGAGAGGTCTGCTGCGCCATGTGGGTAGCTTCCTGGCCGGCTGGGAATTGAACTCGTGCTGCAGAGGCTGGGGATTGTTTCATAGTGCTGTGCTTAACCCCTTGCGCCACCAGGGAGGCCCTGACTGAGTTGTTCTTAATCTCATCCCACACTCTGCTTCCCTGGGAGAGGACCAAATTGCAAATCATTTAATGAGAATTGTTTGGGGTAAGACTCAGGCACCAAAGTTCCATGCTTCCCAGGGATGCAAATCTACACTGGGTGAGAGACCCTTGTCTCAGTGAACCTGACAAAACATCCCTCAGACCCACAACACACACTCCACATCCATGTGCTGAGAAAGAACCTTCCAAGGGAAAGTGATCTGAACAACACCGACACTTCTGCCATTAATGCTAGATGCATTTTGCTAGTGTGCTAGATGCATTTTGTGTGAGAGCCGAGATCCCTGTAAAATTACCATCCCCAATTCCATCCACGCTGGAGGGGATGAAGCTGAGTGAAATAAGTCAGGAGAGAGACAAGTACTGCATGATTTCACTCAGGTGGGATGTAGAGAAAGAAAACAAGGAACAAGCTAAACAAAAACTAGTCCTAGAAACTGGCTGTGGAACTGAGGCTTCTTGAGTGGTAGGGGAGGTAGGGAGCAAAGGGGAGGAGGGACCCCAATGGACTACAGTGGAGGATTTTGGGGGGTTTTGTGATAGGTGTGGTTTGGTAACATCCATCTGAAGAGCAATGAACCTGCACTCCACAGTCATATACAGTCATATACAGTCATAAACCATGTTACCTCAATGAACAGTGACACAGTTTTTAAAATAAAATTCTCATTGTTGGGAAAAATTAAATAAAATGAGCATCATGCCTGTTGATGAACGTGGAAGTGAGAGAGACATTGATGGAACTCATGCGCTGTTGATTCGGCCTTTTTTCAAAGAGATTTCCTCTTTCTCCCCCTCACGGAGCAGGCGGTTTTGTGTTTCAGTGAAAAGGAGACGTTCTCAGGCCTTTGGGCTACAATTGCATGGGCCGGTGAAAATATTACAGTTTGTGTTTTGAAATATAAAATTCTTAAATGGCCAGAAGGTGAAGAGACTGAAGGTGTGATGAAGAGGATAAATGGATCGACAGAATGTGGTCTAGCCAGAGAGAGGATGTATTGGGCACAAGGAGTGGAATTGTGCTGTGGGCTACGACAGGAAAGGACCTTGACAACGCAGTGAGGGAAATTAGCCATCCCGCAAGGACAGAGAGTGCGCCCTCCCACTTAGACCAAGTAACTCGGACAGGCAGGGTCACAGAAGCAGAGTGGAGATTCTCAGGGTGTGGAGAAAAGAAGTGGAGACAGGGATTATGTTGGGGTTGATGAGGCTTCGGTTCATGTCACACAGCAATGCAAATATATTTAAGGCTGCTGAACTGAACATGCATTTACAAATGGTTAAAAGTATAAACATGGACAGGGATTGGGGCCTCCATCCCCCAGGCAGTTGAAAACCATGTATATCTCTTTTGACTACTAAAAATCTTCACTCATAGCCTGTGGCTGATCAGAAGCCTGACGGATAACATGGTCGATTAACACAAATTTTGTATTTATGTGCATTATGTAGCGTCGTCTTAGAATAAAGTAAGCTGGAGGCTGTAAACCAGACCTTCTTCACTCTATCCCGACAGGTCCCTCTAAAAACTTTACTGGAAATGTCTTCCTAGCACACACCTCACTGCAGGGAATGCTCCGTGGAACAGCGTAAAGACTCGGAGTCCGGAAATTATGTTGAGAGGGAAAACCAATACAAAGGACCTCACCAAGGCAAGATCTCCTCTCCTCGTGGATCTCAAGCTTTCCTGGTTTCTGGAAAGACTCATTTCTATTGTGCCATAGTTCCCTAGCTGGGGAGTGTCTGAACCACTCATCCTTCCTTTCCTGGCTTATTCAGACATACCCGGGATGCTTCCATGTCAAGACCCCATGCGTGTCCCTCTTCATGTAACGTCCTGGCTGAGCGGAAGCAACGTTTGTGGAGGGAGGCAGTTCTGGTTGATCTGTGCCTGTGCAATATGGTCGCCTCATATTGCAAGCTCAGATCCTAACCTCTAAGAGTGCATTTTTTTTTAAAGGTTTATTTATTTATTTCTACAAGCACTGGGTACAGTCAGAAGCGTGGGAGGGTGAGAGAATTCACCAGCGCCAGAGCAGGGAGCAGAGCAGGCAGAAGGACGAAGGACACTGCTGAGGGAGCAGCGGGCGGCAGGAGAGGTCTGCGTGCCATGTGGGACCCTCCTCCCATGGCCTGGGAGCAGCCGGGGATCGAACCGGCGCTGGGGCTGCGGGCAGCTTCGCAACCCAACGCTCAACGCTACGCCACCGGGGAGACCCCTCTAAGAGTGCATCTTATTCTGGCAGTTGTTGTTGTTGTTGTCATTGTTTTGGGGAGTATCAGAGTGTTACTTCCCAAATGTGGAACACACCCCACTGGTCTTACGTGTGGTGATGTTGGGTGGACAGAAGGTGGTTAAGCTTTGCGTGATGGATGCACTCAGCACTCTTATGGTGCCGTTGGTTTTATCAACCAGAGAGCCGTTTGCAGCGAGTCTTTGATGCCTCTCCCTCCCAGTGACTCACCTTCAGCAGGCTTCAGACTCACGGCTTGAAAGGAGCAGGATATAGTTAAAATATCCTAACATTCACTTTCCTTGCCTTTACGATAAGTTACCTTCCATTTGACACACCTCACACCAATTTTCTGCCACCCTAGGTGCCGTCCCGAGAGACTTACTGAAAAGAGGAGGAAGAGTAGCTTCGAGATCATAGTGGCTGATCAGCCAGTCTGGGGTCTTTCTTCAGGTTGGGGTCCCCAGCAGCGAGGGAAGCTGGGATGGTCACGGCTGCAGCCTCACTGAGGCTAGAGTGTTGGATCAAATGGCTTTGCTGTGACCTTTCAGGTCCTCCCTCCTATAGCCAATTTCCGTAACTGTGCTGATTTTGGGATTGCAGCATGTCCTCCGAGCCGATCTTAAATCATTTGACTCGGAAAATCCTTGTCTGTCTCAGTCAAATGTTAGGGATTAGGGAACTACCTACCCCCCGCACACACACACACACCACCTAAGGCTTGACCTGAGGGGTTCCTATTGAGCAGATACTTTGCTATGGAGGGTACCAACGGTCTTCCAGGTTAATCGATGTTGTCCATTGGACAACAACTAGGGACTGTTGCCAGATAATTCCCTCACTAACTGTGGCAGTCATTTCGATTATTAAAGAAGGCCCATAGGCCCCCAGAGGGCAATGTGAGCATCTGGTGAGTGTAGAACAGAGACAGTGGAGTAGTGAGAGCTTGAAAATGAGCGAAGCATCCCTGGCAAGAAGGATCAGGGGCTCCTCTTTTGAAGGGCTGCATGGGTGCGTTTTCCATCTTGGGAACAAGGAAAGCCCAAATGAATTGTTGTTGGGGTTCCTTATTCCTTCATGCCATGGAATGGTATGCGAGTCACTGTGGCTGGATAGTCCCGTGTCAGAGCCTGCTCGTGTCTCAGCTGCACTAAACCCCTGCGCGTCTCACCTCCACTTTCCTGAAAATCAATGCTGACACATTGAGAGAACCCCTCCCCCACCAACTTCTGGGCCCCGAGTTCCAAAGCGGTACTGTTCATCAGTGTGTCCCCTTCCCTGACCAGCAGGCCCATTTATCCCCCCACAGAATAGCTCAGACCAGTTCCCACCAGAATCAGCCGTCGAGCGTGGTCCTCCAGGAGCCGCCTGGTCTGCTCCGAGTTCTTTGAGTTTTACAGAGTTTTGTGAAGCTGTGGTATTTAGAATCATTTTCAACTCTTGCAAAATGTGTGTGCGGCTCATAGCCCTTACTTGGCCAGCAGGTCCCCCAAAGAAATTATCAGCATGTCTGAAACTCCAAGTTTCTGTGTTGCTTCTACATCCACGTACTGACCAACACTGCTGATGTTTCTTTTTCAGAAAATATTTGTCTCTGCAAACTAGACATGTGAGTCCCAAGTCAACCCCATCCCAGCTGACCAATCGCCACCTTCTCCATCTGGGTAATAATCTGTGCTTCCTGCCAAATGTTGCTAGAATCTCTTAAGTTAATGGGAGACACGTAAATGGAGGCACAGCCAGGCCTTCTCAAAGACAAAGGAGAGGCAGGAGCAGGAATTGGACCTGGCTGTGTCTCAAAAGCCCATTTCCGGGGCCTCCCTGGTGGCACAGGGGTTAAGCTTCAGCTCTGTCAAGCTATCACCAGCCACTGTGTCCTGAGTTTGATCCCTGGCCAGGGAGCTGGCCCACATGGTGCAGCAACCATTCCTGTCTCCCCGCTGCTTCCCTCATCAGTGTATTTCAGTTGATCTCCCGGTTTCGCACCCCAATGTCTCTGGGGGATCCTCTCCTCCCCACACCTCTTGCCTGTAGCCCAGTTCTTTTTTTTTTAAAGATTTATTTTTTATTTATTTATACAAGCACTGGGTACAGTCAGAAGTGCAGGAGGGTGAGAGAATTCACCAGAATCAGAGCGGAGAGCAGAGCAGGCAGACTGACGAAGTACACTGCTGAGGGGAGCAGCGGGAGGGTGAGAGAATTCACCAGAGCCAGAGCGGGGAGCAGAGCAGGCAGAAGGACCGAAGGACACTGCTGAGGGGAGCAGCGGGCGGCAGGAGAGGTCTGCGCGCCATGTGGGACCCTCCTCCGGTGGCCGGGGAGCAGCCGGGGATCGAACTGGTGCTGCAGAGGCTGCGGGCAGCTTTGCAACCCAGTGCTCAACTTCTGCGCCTCTGGGGAGGCCCTGTAGCCCAGTTCTTGTAGGCATAAATAAATAAATCTTTAAAAAAAAACCAAAAGGACAAGGGAGTGGAAATGAAGCAAGATGTTGCAAAGAGAGGACAGCGCAAGTGACGGAGAAAGGAGAATCAGGGTGGCAGAGCAGACACGCTCCTGTCACATCAAGGAAACATCCCCCAAGTGATGCAGAGCCTTACCTGTCACCTGGATGGAGACGGACTCACTGGGGTGCGAGCCCCGGAATGGAGCCCTGGTCATGTGGCTCACACAGCTGTAGTTCCCGCTGTCACCGGGTGTCACCTTCGGAAGGGAGAAGACGGTTCCCCTCTCCTGTGAAGTGGAGACCTGGGTGGGTGGTGCTGACTCTCCTGCCTTCAGTATAACAAAGTGTGTCGGCTCAGTCAGGTGGCGAGGCCACTGGCACTGCAGGGTCACGTTCTCTCCTGCGGTCACCTCTCCCCGTGGGTGGGCTTGGAGGGAAGGTTTGGGGTAAAAACCTGAAAGACAAGAAGGCTCCGGGGTCACCCCGTGCTCCTGGCGGGGTCTCAGGGAGGAGGAGGTGCAGACGCCTGGCCCCAGCCTTGTCCATTCCAGCTCCAGGAAGCACTTCTGCCTCCTGCAGGCCCTGGGTACACGGCGCCAGCTGGGCCCCTGTCTCTCCCCAGCCCCCAAGCTGCACTGCAGGGGCGCCCTTGTCTCCCTCTCTGTCTCTGGTTCCTCCCTCACCCCCACCCCTGAGAAGACCCGGTGTCCTCACCTGTCACCAGGAGTAGAAGGGCCTCACTGGGCGGTGATGTTTCTCGGGGCCTCTCTCTTGTCTGGTAGTCACAGGTGTACTCTCCAGCTTGACTGGGTTGTAGACCAGCGAGGTGAAACTTGGCCAGGCTTTCTGTCCAGCCAGGTGAGGGCACGTGCTCCATGGTGTATTCTCCCCTGTTCTCCATGCTGTGTCCTCCCCTTCTGAGAACAAACTTTCCCAGGCCCCCGATGGGCGCGCGGCATGTCAGCGTCACATCACCATCCTCAGGCACCACCGCGCTGGGCCAGGCCGTGAGGGAGGGCCTGGGAAGGGGCCCTGGAGGAAGCAGAGTTCAGGATTGGCTGCCCTGTCCTCACCTGCTCCGCGGAGGCCCAGTGGAGGGAGGAGGGTGGAGAGGACAGGAGCAGGGTCTGGTAGAGGAAACACTCACCGTGGCCTCCTGCATCTCCTTGGCCCACGCGCAGCCCTGCAGAGGAATCATCATCCGTGAGTCGGTCCCGCTGGAGCTGCCCAGCTCCTCCCTGGTGACTAGGGACTGGGCCAGGGTCTCGCTGAGGACAGGGCCTGGAGCTCATGCCCGTCCCCTGGGGTCCTCCTGTCTCCACACTGGACTCTCCCCGCTCAGCGCCTCCCTCCTGGCTCACAGAAAGGCTGCGGCTCCCACTCCCGAGGCCCCAGCGCCTTTCTGGGTTCCACGAAATCCCACAAACTCTCCTTTTCTCATCTTCTGTCCTGAGCCACCTCAGCCTCACATTCCTAGTAGGTCTGTGTCGGATTGTCTGGATTCCCACAGCCCCGCCTGGGGAGGAGGCAAGAACCGTGAGAAACACTCCTAGCAGGAATCTAGAAAACTTAAATAAGGGACCAGGAAAATGAATAACTCTAAGAAAGTGAAAATCAAAATCAACAAAAAATATGAACCAGAGACACTCTATGGGGGGTATGGGGCGGGGAGGGGAAGTATTGGGATCAAAATAAGGGGGTTGCAATTGTATGGGGAATATAAAAATAAAATTTATTTAAAAAAAAAAAAAAGAACCGTGAGAGAGATTGGGGCGGCGTCGGACACGAGGGTCCCTGGCCCCAAACAGACCTGAGTGTCTCCTCACAGTCTCCATGACAGACGGGGCCCCACAGGGAAGGTCTCCTGTGTCTGGGTGACAGTGTGGAGATAGAGCTGCCAGAGCATGGAGCGCGCAGTGCGCTTGCAGTTGCTCACACCCTCCTGCCATGGCGGACACGGGCCACCGCTGTGAGCGCCCGGAAGGCAGGGGTCTCGGTGCTGCTGGCCTAGGCACCCTGGTGACCACACAGTTGCGGCACAGTGTAGGACCTCAGCAAGCCACGCTGCTGAGGGCCAAGGTGCCCCACTAGAACATGGTGGAGGATTCGGGGGCACTGGTGATGGGCAGGGGGTGAAAACATGCATTTGCAGAGGTTTGATCCTGTAACCCCAGAGATACAACCATGGAAACCATGTTTCCTCCGTAAGCACAATTGGAAAAAGATGATTACAAGATGCCCCAGCACCAGCCGGCTGAGGAGCGGCAGCCTCCTCTCCCCCATCTTCTCTCATGTCTCCTCACGTCCAGACCTCTCCACCGCCACCACCAATACTGGGTGAGGAAGGCTGACTCCTGGATGGGTGAGCCGGTCCCTGGGAAGCACTGGTTGAGGCCAGTCCTGAGTCTTTAGTTTGAAGGTTCTGCTCCAGCATTTGCAGTTGTCTCTTGTCAGCCTTTCATACTCCAGACAGAACAGAGTCCCTGCGTGTCCTGACACAAGCCTCAGAAGATCCAAATGGCGGTTCCAGGAAAGGGAGCACCTAGAGCCGTCCCCTCTCCACATGCAGCTGCCTTTAGCGTTCTCTAACTCAATTTTTTTTTAATAATTCATTTATGCACACAATAGCTGGGGTACAGGCCAGAGGTGCGGGGGGTGAGAGATTCACCAGACACAGAGTGGGAGCACAACAGGGAGATTGACTGAAAAATACACTGCTGAGGAGAGCGGGGGTGAGACAGGAGAGGTTTGCTGCGCCATGTGGGTAGCTTCCTGGCCGGCTGGGAATTGAACTCGTGCTGCAGAGGCTGCGGATTGTTTCATAGTGCTGTGCTTAACCCCTGCGCCACCAGGGAGGCTCTGACTGAGTTGTTCTTAATCTCATCCCGCACTCTGCTTCCCTGGGAAGGGACCAAATTGCAAATCATTTAATGAGAATTGTTTGGGGTAAGACTCAGGCACCAAAGTTCCATACTTCCCAGGGATGCAAATCTACACTGGGTGAGAGAGCCTTGTCTCAGGGGACCTGGCAAAACATCCCTCAGACCCACAACACACACACTCCACATCCATGTGCTGAGAAAGAACCTTCCAAGGGAAAGTGATCTGAACAACACCGACAGTTCCGCCGTTAATGCCCCAGTGTGCTAGATGCCATTTTGTGTGAGAGCCGAGATCTGTAAAATTACCATCCCCAATTCCGTCCACGTGGAGGGGATGAAGCTGAGTGAAATAAGTCAGGAGAGAGACAAGTACTGCATGATTTCACTCAGGTGGGATGTAGAGAAAGAAAACAAGGAACAAGCTAAACAAAAAACAAGTCCTAGAAACTGGCTGTGGAACTGAGGCTTCTTGAGGGGTAGGGGGAGGTAGGGGGCAAAGGGGAGGAGGGACCCCATGGACTGTAGTGGAGGATATTGTGGGTTTTGTGAAGCTTTGAAGAGCAGTGAACCTGTACTTCTCAATCATATACAGTGTATTAACCATGTTACTTCGATAAACAGGGACACAATTTTAAAAAATAAATTCTCATTGTTGGGAAAAATTAAATGAAATGAGCATCATGCCTGTTGATGAACGTGGATGTGAGAGAGAGATGGATCTAACTCAACGGATGTTGATTAGGTCTTTTTTCTTTTCTTTTTTTTTTTTTAAGTCTTTTTTTTTTTTAATAGAGGCATGTTTTATTTATTTATTTATTTGTTTGTTTTTTTTTGTTTATACAATGCACTGGGTACAGTCAGAAGCGCAGGAGGGTGAGAGAATTCACCAGAGCCAGAGCGGGGAGCAGAGCAGGCAGAGGGACCGAGGACACTGCTGAGGGGAGCAGCGGGCGGCAGGAGAGGTCTGCGCGCCATATGGGACCCTCCTCCGGTGGCCGGGGAGCAGCCGGGGATCGAGCCGGCGTCGCAGAGGCTGCGGGCAGCTTCGCAACCCAGCGCTCAACCGCTGCGCCACCGGGGAGGCCCCCGATTAGGTCTTTTTTCAAAGAGATTTCCTCTTCTACCCCTCACGGAGCAGGCGGTTTTGTGTTTCAGTGAAAAGGAGAAGGTCTCAGGCCTTTGGACTACAATTGTGTGGGCCGGTGAAAAATATGACAGTTTGTGTTTTGAAATATAAAATTCATAAATTAGCCAGAAGGTGAAGAGACTGAAGGTGTGATGAAGAGGATAAACGGATCGACAGAATGTGGTCTAGCCAGAGAGAGGATGTATTGGCACAAGGAGTGGAATTGTGCTGTGGGCTACGACAGGAAAGGACCTTGACAACGCAGTGAGGGAAATTAGCCATCCCGCAAGGACAGAGAGTGCGCCCTCCCACTTAGACCAAGTAACTTGGACAGGCAGGGTCACAGAAGCAGAGTAGAGGT